TGACTATTTATCCACAGTGATGATAGTTGAAATGTCCTGGATGTATCATCCAGTGATGATAGTTCAAATGCCCTGGTGCTATCATCCAGTGTGTGTTCAAAAGTCCCGGATGACTATCATCCAGTGATGATGTTAACTGCCCCGGATGCTATCTCCAGTGTGTTGTTCAATGTCCCTGGATGATATCATCCAAAGTGATAGTTCAACGTCCTGGATGACTTCTCCAGGATGTAGTTTTAATTTTCCCTGGATGTCTATTTCCAGTGTGATTGTTCAAGCCCTGGGGACTTATCGTGTGATGTTCAACTGTCCTGGATGACTATCATCCAGTGATGTAGTTTAAATCTCCCCGGTGCACATCCGTGATGATAGTTCAACTGTCCCTGGTGTATCATCCGTGATGATGTTCAACTGTCCTGGTGCTATCATCCGTGGTTTAAGTTCAACTGTCCCCGGATGATATCATCCAGTGATGTAGTTACTGTCCTGGAAAAACTATATCCAGTGATTTTAGTTTAAAATTTCCATGGGGGAAATTTTCATCCCGTGATGATAGTTAAAATGTCCCTGGAGACATCATCCAGTGATATAGTTCAAAAAGTCCCCGGATGACATCATCCAGTGAGATGTTAACTGTCCCCGGTTTGGGCTATCATCCGTGGATGTTCAACTGTCCTGGAGACTATATCCAGTGTGATAGTTCAATGTCCCTGGGATATCATCCGTGTTTATAGTTCAAATGTCCGGATGCTATATCCAGTGATGATAGTTAACGTCCCTGGATACTATCTCCATGATGGTAGTTTAACTGTCCCTGGATGACTATCATCCAGTGATGATAGTTAACTCTCCCTGGTGCTATCTCCACAGTGATGTTAACTCTCCCCGGATGACTTCTCCCGTGATGATAGTTCAATCCCTGGTGAATCATCCGTGATGAAGTTCAACCTCCCCGGATGACTACATCCACGTGTAGTTCAATGTCCCTGGAGACTTCACCGTGTGATAGTTCAACTCTCCTGGATGAATATCATCCACAGTGATAGTTCAAATGTTCCTGGTGCTATCATCCGTGTGTAGTTCAACTCTCCCGGAGACTTCTCCACAGTGGGTAGTTCAACTGTCTGGATGTTTATCCGTGTGTAGTTCAACTCTACCTGGTGACTTCATCCACAGTGATAGTTAAAATCTCCGGATGACTATCATCCCGTGTGATAGTTAAACTCCCGGGGTTTTACTTCATCCCGTGATGAAGTTAACTGTCCCCTTTGGGTGACTATCTCCTGTGATAGTTAATCTCCCTGGATGCTACTCAGTGGGTGATGTTCAACGGGCCCCGGAGACTTTCCCAAGTGATAGTTCAACCTCCGGATGACTATCTCCAGGATATAGTTCAATGTCGGATGTCAATTTCCCCAGGATTTTTTCAACTCCCGGGGGATTCTCCCAGTGATAGTTTAAAAAGTCCCTGGATGATATCATCCAGTGAGTGTTCAAATCTCCCTGGTGTATCATCCAGTGATGATAGTTCAATCTCCCTGGGGGACTATCATCCCGTGATGTAGTTAAACTCTCCCCGGTGACTATCTTTTCCCGTGAGAAGTTCTCTCTCCCCGGTGACTATATCCAGTTTATGTTTTTTCTACCTCCCTGGATGACTATCATCCAGGATGATGTTCTACTCTCCCTGGAGGGCTATCACCCGTGTGATAGTTTACTCTCCCCGGATGACTATCATCCCCCCCTGATGATAGTTCTACTCTCCCTGGTGACATCATCCAGTGTGATAGTTCAACTCTCCTGGTGCATCATCCCTGATGATAGTTAAATCTCCCTGGAGTTTTCATCCAGTGTGATAGTTCATTCCCTGGATGACTTCATCCACGTGATGATAGTTCAAAATGTCCCCGGGACTTCATCCATGATGATAGTTAAATGTCCCTGGATGCTATCATCCGTGATGTATTAACTGTCCTGGAGAATCATTCGTGATGATATTCAACTGTCCCCGGAACTTCATCCGTGATGTTTTTTTTAAAATTCAACTGTCCCCGGATGATATATCCAGATGATAGTTCAACTGTCCCCGGTGATATCATCCCGTGTGATAGTTCAATGTCCCGGATGTCTTTTATTCTGTGATAGTTCAACGTCCCCGGAGCTTTCCGTGAGATAGTTCAACGTCCCTGGAGGGATATCATCCGTGATGATGTTCAAACCCCCTGGGGTGACTTCATCGGATGATGTTAACTGTCCCTGGAGCTATCATCCCCGTGATGATAGTTGAACTGTCCCCCGGATGAATATATCCGTGATGTAGTTCAACGTCCCTGGATGCTTCATCCCGTGATGTAGTTAACTGTCCCGGTGATATCTCCCGTGAGATTTTCAACTGTCCCCGGATGCTTCATCCGTGAGATTGTTCAAAAGTCCCCGGGATATCATCCAATGTTTATAGTTCAAATGTCCCTGGAGACTATCATCCGTGTGATAGTTCAATGTCCCCGGTGTCTATTATCCAGTGATGATAGTTCAAAAAGCCCTGGATGGGTATATCAGTGATGTAGCAACGTCCCTGGATGACTTTTTCCCGGTGTAGTTAAAATTCCCGGATGACTAATCCGTGATGAAGTTCAACTGTCCGGATGACTATCATCCATGATGTGTTCAAAATGTCCCGGGGGACTTCATCCCGTGATGATGTTCAACTGTCCCCGGATACTATATCCTGAGATGTTCAAATGTCCCGGGGCTTCATCCAGTGATGATGTTTTTGTCCTGGATGACTATATCCGTGATGATAGTTCAACTGTCCCGGATGGGCTATCATCCCGTGTGTGTTCAATTTTTCCCGGATGATATCATCCAGTGTGATAGTTCAACTGTCCCGGATGATTTACAGTGATGATTTCAACTGTCCGGATGACTTCCCAGTGATGATGTTCAAAAATGTCCTGGAGATATCACCTGATGATGTTCAACTGTCCCGGATGACTATATCCCGTGATGATGTTAACTGTCCCGGATGCTTCATCCCCGTGATGATGTTCAACTGTCCCTGGTGACTATCATCCAGTGAGGGTAGTTCAAATGTCCTGGTGACTTCATCCGTGATGATAGTTCAAAATCTCCCCGGAGACTATATCCCATGTAGTTCAACTCTCCTGGATGACTATCATCAGTGGGTAGTTAACTCTCCCCCGGTGACATATCCAGGGTGATAGTTCCCCCCCCTCCCTGGAGACTTCATCCACAGTGATAGTTAAAATGTCCCTGGGTGACTTCTTCCCCGTGATGTAGTTAACTCTCCCCGGAGACTTTAAACCCAGGAGTTCAACTGTCCCCGGATGGTTTCATCCCGTGATATAGTTAACTTCCTGGTGACATCATCCACGTGTAGTTCAAATGTCCCTGGTGCTTTAAACCGTGTGATGTTCAAATCTACCCGGTGACTATCATCCACGTGATAGTTTTAAAATCTCCCCGGTGACTTCATCCGTGATGTAGTTTCATTTTACCTGGAGACTTTCCAGTGATGATAGTTCAACGTCCCTGGATGACTATATCCAGTGTGTGTTCAACTCTCCCCGGATGATATCATCCCGTGTGTGTTTAAATGCCCTGGATGATATCACCCCATGAAGTTAATCTCCCCGGAGACTTTTATCAGTGTTGATAGTTCAACTGTCCCCGGTGATTTCTCCACGTGATAGTTACTTCCCCGGTTTACTATATCACAGTGTAGTTAACTGTCCCTGGTGACTTATCCAGTTGTGTAGTTAACTCCCTGGGATGACTTCATCCAGTGATGATAGTTCAACTCCCCTGGGTGACTTTCTCCGTGATGATGTTTAACTCCCCGGATGATACATCCGTGAGGGGTTTTTCCCCGGGTGACTTTATCCCGTGATGAAGTTCAAATCCCGGATACTATCTCCCGTGATGTTAGTTTACTTCCTGGATGACTATATCCGTGATGTAGTTTACTCTCCCTGGTGGCATCATCCAGTGTGATAGTTTACTTTTCCCTGGATGATTATCCAGTGTGATAGTTCTATCCCCTGGAGGGCATCATTCCCCTGATGATAGTTCAAAATCTCCTGGAGGGCTTCATCCGGATGTGTTCTCTCTCCCTGGATGACAATTTTCCCGGGGTGTAGTTCAACTCTCCCTGGATGACTATCTCCCGTGATTTTTTTTTCTTCCTGGTTTACATATCCAGTGTGTAGTTCTACTCTCCCCGGTGGGGCTTTTATCCCCGGGTGATAGTTTTCTCCCCTGGATGGACTTTCTTCCAGGATGAAGTTTATCTCCCCGGGTGACTTAAAACCGGTGTTTGTTCACTCCCTGGATGACTATCATCCCAAGGTAGTTCACTTCCTGGATGACTATATCAGTGATGATAGTTCATCTCCCTGGATGTATCTCCAGTGATGATGTTCTACTTCCCCGGTGACTATATCCCGTGAGATAGTTCAACTCTCCCTGGGGGACTATATCCAGTGGATAGTTATTCCCCGTGACTATATAGTGATGGATAATTAAATTTATGACTACACCTTTTGAAGCCCCCCGGATAACCCTTTGATGTTCAACTCTCCCGGAGATATTATCCTTTGAAGTTAATCCCCTGGGGAATCATCATTATGATATTCAAAAATTTCCCGGATAATACATGAGAAGTTTAACCCTTGCTATATTTTGATGAAGTTTCCTTTCCCGGATGCAATTTACTTTAGTTAACCTTTCCGGATGGGCATATAAATGATGTGTTTTTTCTGTTGTTCATATATTTGTAAAATTTAAAAAAAGGGATATTTTTTTTTAAAGTTCAACATGAAGAGAACACCCGCAACCACACCTTTATGCCCTTGGGTTAATAAACTGGCAGAAAAATTGTTAAATGCGGGACCAAATACCAACGGCTGATGACCATAAGTCTATTGCAAAATTTAAAATCCCCATTAAGTGTTTTTTGTGAACCTAGGGTAAAAATTTTGGGCAGGGGATTTTCGCTAGCAGCAAGAGATGCAATCGACAATTCTGCAGCTAACGGTTTCCGAATTGACTGATATAGTGGACTTCGTCCCCTTATTTCTGTTGTCCACTACTTGGAGGGTTCACTGTAACATATAATGGCGCCTGCATATAAGCACCGAGCCTTCAACATAGCCAGGAGCTGCGAATCAACCCCTGCAATCACACAAAGGCACATACACTGCCCCTACCTGTACAGTACCTGTCACATTCTAGGTCCATCACATGTTTACAATGGTGGGTTAATGGGGATGGGGTTTCAATCCTATCCACTACACCAGGCTCACGAAGGCTACACAGTAACCGTCATAACACCCTGACAAGAATATTGTAATCCCCTATAAAGGGATTAAACTTTCAGTGTATATACCCTAAGGGGATTATCCCTCACAGTACATACTGGGGGTCCTTGACTTACAACGGGGGTTACATTCCGACGAACCGTCCCAAGTCAAAAATATTTATGTTGAAAATGAATACGATATGCTAAATAAATAAGTCAATAAATAACTAGTGGCAGTGAAGAAGTCAATAAACAATAATTAGTGTAACTAACTAAATACCAGTACTGAAAAGTTAATAAATGAATATAAGTTAGGGACTTGTTGCCTTCATGCTGGATAATTATCTTATGTTTCATCTCTAAAGTTATTTTTGCAGCATCATTGTAAAGATAAAGTATCATAAGTTGAGCCATCATAAACTTGAAATATGGCAAGTCGATTCATTGTGAAGTCAAAATATCCTAAGTCAAACATTCATAAAGTTGAAATGTTGCAAGTTGCACCATCGTAAAGTCAAAATATGGTAAGCTGAAGACCACCTGTATATACCACGGGGATATATCCCACCCATGTAATATATACTCAGAAATGTACACAACATTTATTGATTACAATTACTTCTAGTCTGTGTACATGTGTACAGTGAACCCTCGATAAAGCAGAAAAATTGGGGGTATTAACCAAGCGTTTGTTAAAACAGATTATGTACTAGAGCACCCTAGAGTACACAGAATTTAGATCACAATAAACCAGAGTCCATTTTAACCAGTTGATTTAAGAGTGTTATACTGAGGTTGTTATATCCAGGGTTTACTGTGTAATTTTATTTTACAGTCTGTTTTATAAGACTTAAGCTTAATAAGGTATAATAAGCACTAAACCTGTAAGAGCCGGGTTTACCCACAATGCTCTGGGTACTCAGAGCTGTTTTTATCGTTTGATTTTGTGAAAAATTGTGTAATGTGTGGAAGTGTTTGATTTTCATTACATAAGGTGTTTTATCATGCTTGCTGGACCACAGGTGGTCCGGTCGGGTTGATGGTACACTTTTGGTCCATATTAAAGCAATGGTTCATGTTTCAACCTCTGCAATGGTCCATGATACAGCCTCTGCAATGGTCCATGTTACAATATTTGCAATGGTCCATGTTATTGGCATGGGTCACCTCTACAATGGTCCATGTTATTGGCATGGGTCACCTCTACAATGGTCCATGTTATTGGCATGGGTCACCTCTACAATGGTCCATGTTACTGGAACATTCCACCTCTTGAGGAGTTTTCAGTCGTTATGTGTCCCCGGACCACAGTCCAAGAGCCCGTTCATGCTTCCGTTCATTCAACAACAGTCGTTCATTAGACTTCGCAATCATAGCATTTGTCCCATGTGACTGTTATCTTGTTAATCCTGCTCTTGCTTCACCTGCAAGTTGCAGAGTTCTGCTGTGTACGTCTGGAAGAGCAAGTCATTGGTCATGCCTCTTGTCATTCAGCAATGGTCATTCAGCAACAGTTGTTCAGCAACAGTTGTTCAGTGACAGTTGTTCATTAGAGCTTGTTCATAGTGCTAGTCCCTATGACTTTCCTCTAGTTATTCCCATTCTTGCTTCACATTTTGCAAGTTACAGAGTTATGCTGCGTTCATCTGGAAAAATAGGTCATCATTTATGCCTCCCATCGTTCAACGACAGTTGTTCAGTGATGGTCGTTCAACGACAGTCCTTCATTACAGCTCATTCATAGTGCTAGACCCTATGACTCCTCCAGTTAATCCTGTTCTTCTTTTACCTTCTGCAAGTTGCAGAGTTCTGCTGCATACGTCTGGAAGAAAAGGTTGTCATCCATGCTGGCGCTCTCCTGCTGGTACTCATCATCATAGGCCTCAGCCGACGACATCTTGCGAAAGTCCTTCAGGCAATTAACCGAGCTTTCCAGCCTCTCCTGCAGGTGGATTTTCATATGATTCACTAAGCTGTTCTTGGTCACAAATCCCTTGAGGCATTTCGAACAGCGGTACGGCTGCTCACGACTGTGGCTCTTCATGTGCGTCTCCAGGGAAGGCTTGCGTAAGAAGCTTTTCGAACAAACAGTGCACTTAAAAGGCTTCTCGCCAGTGTGAACCGTCAGGTGGTCCTTAAGAGTGGCCTTCTTCGAAAAGGCTTTGGGACAGATGGAACACTTGTATTGCTTCTGGCCTGTGTGCAACGCCATGTGTTGCACCAGGTAATAATGGCGCGAAAACGCCTTCCAACACTCGGAACACTGGTATGGTTTTTCTCCTGTGTGTACACGCATGTGCGTCACCAGGGCTGACTTCACTGTGAAGTCCTTGGGGCATATAGTGCACTGGAAAGGTTTTTCACCCGTGTGGACTCTCATGTGTGTCACTAAGGCCGACTTGTCCTTGAATCTGTTTGGACAAACAGTGCACTCAAAGGGTTTTTCCCCTGTGTGGACACGCATGTGTCGTATCAAAGCAGATTTCAGAATGAAATTCTTTGGACACATGGAACACTGGTGGGGTTTCTCTCCCGTGTGGATGCGCATGTGCGTCATGAGGTGGTCAGTTTCCTTGAAGTGCTTGAAACAAACGGTGCACTCGTAAGGTTTCTCTCCCGTGTGGATTTTCTTGTGTTTGGTCAGAGTGGAGTTCTGTCGGAAGAGTTTAAAACAGGTCAAACATTGGAATGGCTTCTCCCCCGTGTGGATCCGCATGTGGATCGTCAGACGTGAGCTAAACGAGAAGACCTTCAGGCACACAGGACAAGGGAATGTTTTTTTCTCCGTTTGGTCGCCCATATTTGATCCTCATATAGACTTCCCAGAAGAGAATCAGAATTCTGTAGAAATGTTAAGATGTTTTATTGGAGCATTTTTGAGTAAAATTTGTGTTTGTTTTGGTTAAAGTTCTGTAATAAACACCTCTGGTTTAACTTCTGTAATAAACACCTCTGGTTTAACTTCTGTAACAAACATTTCTGGCTTAAGTTCTGTAACACTTCTGGTTTGAGTTCTGTAACAAACACTTCTGGTTTAAGTTCTGTAACACTTCTGGTTTAAGTTTTGTAACAACACTTCTGGTTTAAGTTCTGTAATAAACACTTCTGGTTTAAGTTTTGTTTAGGCTTTCACAGTTCTAATGAGTTTGTACACACTCGTACACATTCTAGCACATTCACATGCGCTCTAAAACATTTAAATGCATCCCAACACTTTTGTAAGTGTTTGTGTAAGTTCTAACATGTTTCTATGTGTTCTAATACGTTTTAACACGTTCTAACGCATTCTAACACGTATGACGTCACAAACACTGTTCAGAACCATTTAAAAACACACTAATCACTGTTAAGACCTTATAATAGTAAACGAAAGCCTGACTACTAACTACCGACTGCTATTAACTACTTTACAATTCTCTCTCAATTCTCTTATTTTTTTTAATTACCTTTAAGCCAGTTACCCCATTGTAATTTGTTGTGTTTGTAGAATGAATTACATTGATTAAAATAAACACCACATACTAAGATAATTAAGTAATTTCTGTATGATGTGCGATTATTGGGGTCATTGATGCTGCAGATTATCGAATCATCGATGCCAAGGATTATTTTACTGGCGTCATCAATGCCAGAATTTACTTTACTGAAGTCGTCGATGCTGGTGATTACTGGGGGTCATCAACGGCAGCAATTACCTTTAATGAGAGAAAGAAAGCCATTAATTCCAGTGTCAACTTCCATCAATTCTGACAATCACAATCACTCACTGATGTCTTCAAATTAATGTCAACATAAACACAAATTGAAAATATCCAAAGTTGAAAATGTTTTAAGTTGAAGATATTGTAAGCTGAAAATATTTTAAGATTGCAGACCGTGATCACTGTCAACTGACTCGAAATGCAAGGATCACCGAACTAGAATAAAAACTGACTAACATGACAACAAAGGTCAACACACAGAAATTCAAACAACTTTTTGCAAGTTATACTGAATAATATCCCTAACTATACCAAGTAGACAAAGGCCAAACTAGAATGGAAGTCAAACACGGACTCCCAGGGAAGTACAGTGGACCCCCGCTTAACGATCACCTCCAAATGCGACCAATTATGTAAGTGTATTTATGTAAGTGCGTTTGTACGTGTATGTTTGGGGGTCTGAAATGGACTAATCTACTTCACAATATTCCTTATGGGAAAAAATTCGGTCAGTACTGGCACCTGAACATACTACTGGAATGAAAAAAGTTCGTTAACCGGGGGTCCACTGTACATGCCTCCAGAATTGACGGGATCTAACTGAAATTGCAAGATGCTGTAATTGTAAACAGTCCTAGTTCACCAGTAGACACAAACCAGGTTACTTACTCACACAATGCACTTCCAAGAACCAATACCCAAGCGATTACTTAGATGGAAACTTCCCTGGTCCATGGCCGGGCTCCGAGAGCAACAAGACTCTCGAAACTCATCAAAGGTAAAGGTATCCCACATCCCTCTATCTCTATCTTGAACCAACATCCCTCTATCGTGTACCATCCCGGCCCACTGAAGTTACCTTGATTATTAATTCACTAAAAGATAAATCAGGAAATCTAGCTCAGGTCCCGCCACTTTTGTACAAATGAGCGACTCATGTCCTCTCACCCACCATTACATTACTCTTTAACAAATCACTATACACTAGCACTTTCCCAACACTACTCAAAATTAGAAAGGGTCACACCAATACACAAAGGTGGTGACCCAACAGATGTAAACAACTACAGCCTCTCCTCACTCAGTGACGTACTAGTTTACCAACGACTAGCCACAAAAATCTATATGACATTCTCTGTGTCTGGCTGTCTTGACAGTTGCAACAAGACCCGTACAACATGCCGTCTAAGACATGCCCTGTGTCTGACTAAATCTCTTCAAAAATTCAACACACATAAAAGGGCCCAAAATCTGGAACTCTTCTGGAAATCCCCAGAAGCACTGACTCAGCATCTTTAAAACCACCATCATGTTATTTACCACCACACAAACAGTCTATCATTCTGGAATAACCTGGTATTAGTACAGCCTCTCCTCACTTAGTGAAGTACTTGCTTACCAACAACCTGGACTTGTGACAGGCTCTCTGACCAGTATGCATACTTAAATAATGCACAGTAAGGCCCCGCTTTTTGGCATTTCACCTTATAGCGTTCTGCTAATACGGCGATCTCAAATTATGACTAAAACTTTCTATACGGTAAGTGGTCTTTCAAATACAGCGTGTGCCACCCGGTTTGTTTACATTCTCCATGAGCAAATCTCTCTATTATGTAATAATAATCACTCTTGGGCACATTAAATGTCTAATTTTATGTCAATATAGACATTTTCATTCATCCATCTATAATATTTTCTTCAAACTTATATAAGAAACACGTTACATAGCATATAAACATGCTGTATATATGCTATGGAGGGATGGTTGCCAGGCAAAGGGAAAACATTACGTAATACTAATAATAATCACTCCTGGGCACATTATATGTCTTATTTTACGTTAACATAGACATTTTCATTAATCCATCTATGATATTTTCTTCAAAATTATATAAGAAACATGTTACATAGCATATAAACATTTTATGTTTATGTAGTATGGAAGTGTGGTAGCCGGGCGGAGGGAAAACATTACGTCACTCCCCTTAACACTTAAACGGTCCAAACAGATCGACGTTCAAATTCGAAGCTACAAAAGTAGATCTACTTTTTTTTACATATTTTCAAATATAACAAAAAAAAATGTAGATAAAAGTTTTTTTTACACGTTTTCAAATGTAAAACAAAAAAGATCTACATTTTTTTACATATTTTCAAATATAACAAAAAAAAATGTAGATAAAAGTTTTTTTTACACGTTTTCAAATGTAAAACAAAAAAGATCTACATTTTTTTACATACTTTCATATGTTGAAAAAACATATATATACGTTTGGACCATTTAAGGGTTAATATGTAACGCTTTTGTTTACAATTCTCGGCATAAATTATTCATTACTTCTCCATTTGATGGCATCTAAAGATAGTTGCTATAAATGACTCAACTCAGTGAACATGGTATGTCGATGGTAATAATATGTCTCTGGGCCACATTAAATATCTTGTAGCTATGTAGGTAAGTGTAGGTATATAGCCCAGGTGGACTACATACTTACATTATTATTATAACATAATTATATATATGTGTACCTGTACCTAAGTAAACTTAGGCCTAGCTTCTCCATAAGAGCCCTCGTGAGGGCGGGGACTGTGGCTAGGCCTGGGGACAGTTGGTCCCAAAGATGAGGGGGTACTTGTACCTCCTCCCATGGGAGACTTAGGTCTCAAGACACTCCCCAGATAGGGAGCCAAGGCCGGGTCACCACTACTTGGAAAAGACCCGGGCCGGGAGAATACCGGCAAATAAAAAAAAATAAAAAAACTTACACACTGTGCTGGGATGCAGGTACACATTAAAATCACTAAGAGTGTCTTATTAGTCTTGAAGATGTCATATTAATAATGAAAATAATAATAACAGTTAGTGTGACTTTGTAAATGGTCCAAGTCGGACCGAAACATCGTCGTAAGCTCCTCTCTTCTACGTGCGGGTTATTTGTGTATCGTTCCAGTCACGGTATTGTGCCTTTTTTTATTATTTAATAATAACACAATAATAATCACTCTAAGGAGCATTAAATATCGTATAAAATGTTAATATAGACATTTTGCTTAATCCATCTAAATACACCCCACACTAGAATAAATTAACATAAATATGAGATGTGGTAGCCAGACAACTTGTAGGACTTGTGGTAGCCAGGCAACTTTTAGGACATGTGGTAGCCAGGCAACTTGTAGGACTTGTGGTAGCCAGGCAACTTGTAGGACTTGTGGTAGCCAGGCAACTTGTAGGACTTGTGGTAGCCAAGCAACTTGTAGGACTTGTGGTAGCCAGGTGACTTGTAGGACTTGTGGTAGCCAGGCAATTTGTAGGACTTGTGGTAGCCAGGTGACTTGTAGGACTTGTGGTAGCCAGGCGACTTGTAGGACTTGTGGTAGCCAGGTGACTTGTAGGACTTGTGGTAGCCAGACAACTTGTAGCACTTGTGATAGCCAGGTGACTTGTAGGACTTGTGGTAGCCAGGCAACTTGTAGGACTTGTGGTAGCCAGGCAACTTGTAGGACTTGTGGTAGCCAGGCAACTTGTAGGACTTGTGGTAGCCAGGCAACTTGTAGGACTTGTGGTAGCCAGGCAACTTGTAGGACTTGTGGTAGCCAGGCAACTTGTAGGACTTGTGGTAGCCAGGTAACTTGTAGGACTTGTGGTAGCCAGGTGACTTGTAGGACTTGTGGTGGCCAGGTGACTTGTAGGACTTGTGGTAGCCAGGTGACTTGTAGGACTTGTGGTAGCCACCCAACTTGTAGGACTTGTGGTAGCCAGGTGACTTGTAGGACTTGTGGTAGCCAGGTGACTTGTAGGACTTGTGGTAGCCAGGTAACTTGTAGGACTTGTGGTAGCCAGGTGACTTGTAGGACTTGTGGTACCCAGACAACTTGTAGGACTTGTGGTAGCCAGGCAGCTTGTAGGACTTGTGGTAGCCAGGCAACTTGAAGGACTTGTGGTAGCCAGGCAACTTGTAGGACTTGTGGTAGCCAGGCAACTTGTAGGACTTGTGGTAACCAGGCAGCTTGTAGGACTTGTGGTAGCCAGGCAACTTGTACTAATTGTGGTAGCCAGGCGACTTGTAGGACTTGTGGTATCCAGGTGACTTGTAGGACTTGTGGTAGCCAGGCAACTTGTAGGACTTGTGGTAGCCAGGTGACTTGTAGGACTTGTGGTAGCCAGGCAACTTGTAGGACTTGTGGTAGCCAGGCAACTTGTAGGACTTGTGGTAGCCAGGCAGCTTGTAGGACTTGTGGTAGCCAGGCAACTTGTAGGACTTGTGGTAGCCAGACAACTTGTAGGACTTGTGGTAGCCAGGCAACTTGTAGGACTTGTGGTAGCCAGGCAACTTGTAGGACTTGTGGTAGCCAGGCAACTTGTAGGACTTGTGGTAGCCAGGTGACTTGTAGGACTTGTGGTAGCCAGGCAACTTGTAGGACTTGTGGTAGCCAGGCAACTTGTAGGACTTGTGGTAGCCAGGCAGCTTGTAGGACTTGTGGTAGCCAGGCAACTTGTTGGACTTGTGGTAGCCAGGAAACTTGTAGGACTTGTGGTAGCCAGGAAACTTGTAGGACTTGTGGTAGCCAGGCAACTTGTAGGACTGTGGTAGCCAGGAAAACTTGTAGGACTTGTGGTAGCCAGGCAACTTGTAGGACTTGTGGTAGCCAAGCAACTTGTGGTAGCCAGGCAACTTGTGGTAGCCAAGCAACTTGTGGTAGCCAAGCAACTTGTGGTAGCCAAGCAACTTGTGGTAGCCAGGCAACTTGTGGTAGCCAAGCAACTTGTGGTAGCCAAGCAACTTGTGGTAGCCAAGCAACTTGTGGTAGCCAAGCAACTTGTGGTAGCCAAGCAACTTGTGGTAGCCAGGCAACTTGTGGTAGCCAGGCAACTTGTGGTAGCCAGGCAACTTGTGGTAGCCAAGCAACTTGTGGTAGCCAAGCAACTTTTGGTAGCCAAGCAACTTGTGGTAGCCAAGCAACTTGTGGTAGCCAAGCAACTTGTGGTAGCC